CTCGGGTAATAAAACCAAAATTCCGGGGATATGTTCATTGATGGAATGCCTCCCCAGTAACTAATTATGCCATCTTATATGTTTATATGTTTCTTTCCTTTTTTGTTTTTTCTTGTTTGCTGCGTTCCCATTTGAAATTTATGCGTGTGGACATTTTAATATCTTTAGTGACTTAGTGTTCGTGTTTGATCTCATAACTTGGTACTTTGTACTATTTATGGGGTTGATATTTTATATTTTATGCTTCATCAAATTAACTATTTTGTGGGTTGGTTACATTTCATGCTTCATTTTTTTTTTGGCAAAATATTTATTATATTTATAAGGTTTGATAACATATACATCAACAACAATTATACAACCTGGATATTACATAATTAGCACTAGAAGATTGTGCTAACTTAGCTAAAGTGTCAGATTTTTGATTTGGATCCCTTGGAACTCCTTAAAACTTAAAACCAGGGTTTTAAGAAGCCATACTCATGATATCTTGACAATATGTGACAATGGCTTGGTTTCCTCCTACTCCTCCTTTCCAACACTTGTTTAGTGTGTCGAAAGTGACTCGCGAATCTCCATAGAAAGTAACAAACTCATAACCATGCCTTTTGACTTGCTGCACTGCTTCCCTAAGAGCATAAGCTTCTGCCTCCAAAGCAGTAGCGATTGGCTCAACTGAGGCTGATCCTTTCATGATAATCACACCATTATTGTCCATAAAGATCCAACCAAATCATGCCTTCTGGTTAGCTGCCACCCAAGAACTATCTACAAAACAACACCAAGAGGTAGCTGATTAAATCACTTCTATTTCAGTTTTTGGGATATGGTTCGTTTGACTACTCTTCTTCACTTGATCTTATATCATTTGGTTTGTCCACTGTTCGTGATCCATAATTGCCTATGAATGACCTCTTGGATGAGCTCTCTCTTACCATTGAAGATAAGATTATTTCTCATTTTCCAAAGTCGCCAACCAACAAAAGGATAGAGCGGACAATGCTTGGTAGGAACTTTATTACCTTCCATGAGAGCTTCGATATTTTTAATCAAATCATCAGGCTGAAGAGAGTTACCTGATAAAT